TCCGACGTTATTGTTTCTACGACCCTCCCCCCCCCACCCACACACACACATTCAGGCAGACAGCACGGCCATGGTTTATCTTTAACAAGCATCCAGCTAATGCATTTTTCCCAAGCTGCCTCCCACATCTTCCAGGGAACCAGAAGCCACAAGTGTCTCCTACCTGCCTGCCGGCATCTCCTGCCTCCCCACGCAGACGCCTGGGCTGCAGCTCCAAGCTGTCAGCACAAGCAGCTGCAGCACCCTGACAAATGATACCGTGGGGAAGCACCGAGGAAAGTGATTGTAACATCAAGTCAAGAGCTCTGGGGTGCAGCGCTTTCCTCACTTAATTCACCAAAACACTCCTGCTCTTCACTCAGTTGTGTCTGCTACAGACTTTCCCACCTGCCACAGGAACGTGGGACTGGCCAGACTGGGTCTGGGGCACATCCTGGCTCTGAGTGACCAGCACCAGCTGTTTTCAGAGGAACCCTGCATTGATGGGGTATCCTGCCTCCAGAGGACATTCCTTCCTGACCCTCAAGGCAACCATCAGCTCATGCCCTGAAGCAGGAGGGTTTCTAACCCTCCAGAAGCGCTTGTTTATTTGTTAACATTCACTGCTATAACTCTGGATGGTCGCATTAGCCAGAGACATGTCCAGAGCTTTTCTGAAGCCTGAGCCCTTGGGCTTAGTGATATCCAGTGGCAGTGAGTCCCACAGGCCGGCAGCATGTTGGGTGCCGGTTTGAATTTGCCGCACTGGGGCTGCAGAGTCTGTGGGGTCTGGGCGCAGAATTCAGGCCCCGTTTGCCAGAGCGTGTTGAGCCACCTCCGGCGCACGTGGAGTTTGCTGGCGAGCGAAGCCGGGAACGGAACTGGGCCTCCAGCAGGGATGGCCCTTGAACAGGAGAACGGCACATAAATCCGCCCGTGCCAAGGGGATCAGCTCTCTGGCGCCATCACCTCTCTCCAGGCAGAGGGGCTGCCCTTGCCTAATAGGGAAGCGAGCTGTCTTGGGCTTGAGTGATGGGACCCGCCGAGCCCTCGTGTCTCCTCCAGCTCCTGGCTCGCAGGTAGAGCACGTCTCTCCATGGCTGGCTAGCAGGGGAGGATGGGAAGCAGGCCTGGCTCTTACCCAGACTGACACCAATGCGGCTGCTGCAGCCAGGGGCTCAGTCCAGGGGCTCCTTCTGCCCTCTGCACCAGGCCCAGCCCCACAGGCCAGCTGCAGCCAAAGCCCCTGAGGAGGGAAAGGCCGCCCCATGCCCCTTGCCAGGCACACTGCTCCCGGTCAGTCCTGCCAGGAAAGGCTCTACCCTCACAAGTCAGCCGTCCAGAAGGCGGATCAGATGGCCCATGGGGTCGCCACAGGGCTCCCAGTGGGGAAGTGACCATTAACCTGGTGCAGTAAATCCTGGGCTGCGTGCGTGGCTTTATTGCAGGCTGCACTTGCAGCCATTGCTCACCCCACCCCCCACCCCCGCCAGCCCCCAGGTCCTGCTACGGCCCTTCCCAGCCCAGGTGCCGGGGACTGGCGATGGCCCTGCTCCTGCTGAGTACCACAAACCCAGAGTCTGACCGAGGGGGCCTCCCTGGAAACGCTCAGCCCCTTGCCGGTCGCAGCCCCCGGGACCAGCAGGGGGCACTGTGTAGGGGCACGAGGGCCCATCGGTTCACAGGCCCGTTTCCAGCGCAGCTTGTGGAGGCGAAGGGGCAGGTGCTGCTGAGGGCCTGGCCCTGAGCGAGGGAGCTTGGAAGCCAAGCTGCCTCCACTGCTCCAGGCCCCTACCCATCGCCAGCAGTAGGAAGGGCCGGGGTGCTGAGGGACCAGCTCCCGCTGATGGGTTGGCCCAGAGGCTGCATCAGCCGCAGCAGGTGGGAGGTGCTGGGATGGGGAGGCCATGGGGAGCGGGCCCCATGCCTGCTCCTCTGGTCTCTGCTGCTGCAGACAACGGGCGGCTCAGAAGCACTCAGACTATGGGATGGCTCTGCCTTATTCCAGTCCCTAGCAGACAGGTGCCCATGTCCCAGAGCCCCCTGCACTGGCTGGCACCAGGGCCCGGCCTGCTACGTGTGAGTTCCAGCTGCCCAGACAGTGATATAACTCCCCGGTCTCCGTTGAATATGCCCATATAAGCGTAGCCTCGACTCCCTCAACTGCAGAAAAGGACCTGGGGATTACAGTGGACGAGAAGCTGGATAGGAGTCAGCAGTGAGCCCTCGTTGCCAAGAAGGCCAGCGGCATATTGGGCTGCATTAGTAGGAGCATTGCCAGCAGATCAAGGGAAGTGATTATTCCCCTCTATTCGGCACTGGTGAGGCCACACCTGGAGTATTGCGTCCAGTTTTGGTCCCCTCACTACAGAAAGGATGTGGACAAATTGGAGAGTCCAGCGAAGGGCAACGAAAACGATCAGGGGGCTGGAGCACATGACTTACGAGGAGAGGCTGAGGGAACTGGGGTTATTTAGTCTGCAGAAGAGAAGAGTGAGGGGGGATTTGATAGCAGCCTTCGACTACCTCAAGGGGGGTTCCAAAGAGGATGGAGCTCGGCTGTTCTCAGTGGTGGCAGATGACAGAACAAGGAGCAATGGTCTCAAGTTGCAGTGGGGGAGTCCAGGTTGGATATTAGGAAACACTATTTCACTAGGAGGGTGGTGAAGCACTGGAATGCGTTACCTAGGGAGGTGGTGGAATCTCCTTCCTTAGAGGTTTTTAAGGCCCAGCTTGACAAA